GGCCAATTACTTTTCCAAAAATGTTACATCTGTATGGAAGGAAACAGCTATTAAAAATACAAATACCACTTGACCCAGCAAATCTGCTTTTAACAATGTATCCTACCAATATATTTGCATATGTACAAAACAATAGATGACAATGTTTTTAAAATCATGTATCCATACATAGAAGAGATCTTAGAATTATAAAATATATACAGTGGGATACCTATGCAGCTAGTCTTTAAAAAGTGAGTTTAGGCATTTATTTTAAAAATCTATCCTAAGGTCATAAAAAAAGATTATTTCAAGGTTTTTCTAATAGCACCAAAGCAAATAACTCGCATAAACATGACTATCACTGCTTGCTACCAATGAGTCTTTCCCAGTGGTTCTTCCATGAAATTCAGACTTGTGACAATTTCCCTTTTTAGCAGGTCAAGGGATATTAGCAAAGTTAAATTTGTAAATTTCTTAATCTTTTAATATATGTTAATATAAGCAAAGACTAATGCAAACACAACCCCAAATACATCAGTGCGCTTTAACAAACATTTCTGAGGATTGTCAGTTGGTTTTTACCTCTTCTGGGCTCTATTTTACTGTCGTGTCACATCAGTATCCATGGCAAAGAAGCAGACGCTAACAGATACATGCTGTTCTCATGGTGAAGAGCAGAAGTTTCAAAAGCGCTTATACAGTTTAGTTCTGCACTCTAGTGACTGTGTGCCCAGATACACAGCCAAGAGTAGCTACAGCTCACACCCAGCCTACGTACAGCATGAGTAAGAAATGTTGCAAAAGCTACTGCTATTTTAGGGTTGTCCATTGCCTCAGGAAAAAGCTCACTAACAGAGAAACTGACATCAGGACCAAAAACCTAAAACATGTATCACTTGCTTTGGGGTTGGGAAACTGGGAACCCTAATACATTATTATACAAAACTGTTGGACCGTAGACGAAATAAGAAAATATATTCAATGAACTTGTGGCTTTGGGTGAAGAAGTTTCAAAATAGAATACTGGTAGCATGAACTGTTATCAAGATAAATTTGATGGTGTTCAAGAAAGAGATGTGTTCAAAAATGATTAGCCTATTTTCAAGGAAGGATGTAGGACTTTCAAATTGAGTGAGAGCCGGGGTCAAAGACCTAATAAAGGGTATAGCTGCAATCCTTAAAAATTAAAATTGGACTGCCTTAATCCTTAAGATGGACAAATGATTCCTGAGGGGCAGTTTCTCAGAAAAACCTATAAACTCAGAGTATCTGTTATTAAATATAAAAAGACAAGCATGTCTGAGAGACTCTTATGAATAACTGCATAGGAACCTGACCAGATTAAATACTCATACAAAAAGTATATTACCAAAAGTGACACCAGAGTGCCATCAAGAGAAATTAAGTGAGATAAGGGTAAGTTCCTAAAAAGGAATGCTGGTCCCTCAGATCACTATGGTCTGAAAGCAGGCTGAGAAAGCTGCTGAACTGATAAGGAGGGCAGTATTTTCCAAAGGCCTTTGCAAATGCAACAAAGGATGATACTGAAAAAGTAGAGAAGTTCCAGAGGAATCAGCCGAAAGCCATGAAAATAAACAGATAGGTAAGCATACTCCCAGGGAAAACTGGGACCTAATCAGGGAACACTAATTATATCTAAAATAAAGGGAATCTCACAATATTTTCCAGCAGAATTTCAGATTTCCTAGAGAATGGCTGCAAACTCACCTCTTAAGTACCCAATTTTTCTTTTTTTTTTTTTTTAAGAGACAGAGTCTCACTCTGTCGCCCAGTCTGGAGAGTGCAGTGGCACAATCTCAGCTCACTGCAACCTCTGCCTTCCAGGTTCTAGCAATTCTCCTGCCTCAGCCTCCCAAGTAGCTGGGATTACAGGCGCATGCTGCCACGTCCTGTTAATTTTTGGTATTTTAGTAGAGATAGGGTTTCACCATATTGCCTAGGCTGGTCTAGAACTCCTGAGCTCAGGCGATCCACCTGCCAAGGCCTCCCAAAGTGCTAGGATTACAGGTGTAAGCCACCACACCCAGCCTAGTACCCAATTTCTTAATTTCACTACAATAGTTAAACTATGTTGTATTTTTCTGCCACTATTTTTAAAAATTGACAAGTAAAAACTTTATGTATTTATGCTGTGCAACACAACGTTTTGATGTATGTATACATTGTGGAATGGCTAAACAAGCTATTTAACATACTACCTCACATACATATTTTTATTTTGTGGTGAGAACCCTTGAAGTCCACTCTCTTAGTAATTTTGAAGTATACAATATATTGTTAATATGTGCCACTATTTTTGAAAGTAAATACAGACTGGTAGTAAAATAAAACTCTTTAAATATATTTTGGTTGAAACAGACCAATTCTCTAATAGCGTTCTTCTACAATTAAAATTTTCTGTAATCAGTTCATTCAAAACAATGTAAATCTATGCTTAACAGACATACCCCACTTAAGCATTTCAAATCTTTAAACACAACAGCCATAAAAAGTTTTTCCCTCTTTGTCTAAATATACTGTCTATCCCTTCTGGCAAAGATTCCCCAAAAAGCCAAAGTACAAAGGACCCCAAGTAGAAAAGGCAGCAAGAGAAAAATGCAAAAAACCAAAAAACACTCATAATTCCCCAGATAACTGAATAGTTATACTAAAATGCTTTCAAAATTAAATTTACACACAACAATTATTATAACCCTATTTTTAAATAAAGCACCTATTTTGGAGGAGATAAAAAAAAGATTAGTAGGCTGGGCACAGTGGCTCACGCCCATAATCCCAGCACTTTGGAAGGATGAGATGGGAGGATACTTTGAGCCCAGGAGTTTGAGGCCAGCCTGGGCAAGATGACAAGACCAGTCTCATCAAAAAAATTAGCCGGGTGTGGGGGCACATGCCTGTGGTCCCAGCTACTTGGGAGGCTAAAGTGGGAAGATCCCTTTAGCCCAGGAGTTTTAGGTTACAGTGTGCGACTGCACCACTGCACTCTAGCCTGGGCGAGAGAGTGAAACAACATCTTTAAAAAACAAAAAATGTGATCTAGCTTCAAATATATACTAAAGTTCCTCAAACATACCATCTTGCCCAATTTCTCTATTACATATTTGACCTTGATCTAAGTATCTTTATAAATTGATACACCAAAAAGTCTTAAATTAATGATATGATAAATAGCCCTCCTCTACCAATTTTTATTTTACAAAATTTTTCCAGGTTTTCCTGTAATTTTAACAAAGAGCAAAATAACAAACATCCTGTAAGAGAAAACTGATAAAAATGCAAAGAGATATGTACTTGTTTAAAGTCAAATGTCTCATTTATTGCATAACTAATTATACATTAAAAATAAACTCACATGTCACTCTCTGAAGGACAGGGCTGTTTAACCACTTTGGGTCTGCCTCTTGGTTTTGGAATCTTGACTTCTGTAGCTAATATTCACATGGAAAAAAAATCAGTAACTACTAGTTTCTCTTTAAGATATAAATCTCAGATATAAAGATTAGAAATGATACATACTATATAAGAATATTAGTAGCTTATTACATATACAATTATTTCTAAATTTTAAAAATAATACTTCCCCACCATGGTTCAAATGAGCAACAACCAAAAATTAATAAAGAGGTAAAAAGAGTAATAATCCTCAAATTGTCCTTGTTATGACTGAGAGGGCTTAAAACATTTTTCACTATTGTTTTAACAGTAATGTCACAAAATTCAACTTTAGGAAGTAGCACTTATATTTAATGTTAATATATATTATAATATTACTTATGTAGTTACATATCTTTGGAAGTTCATATCAGAATTCAGAGTTTCCTAACACTATTAATTTAATCCACTGCAATATTAAATTCCAAAATAATATGTAAATAAATATTTTTTTCCTTTTCCAGATATTATCTTACCCCCCATTTTCAGTAAGAATCCTATTGAAAAGAAAAAAATTCAATTTTGGTTAATTTCCTTTTTTTACTTTGTATTAGGAAAATCCTTCCAAAACACTTCCAATTTGCCAAATTAAGAAAATACTTTTACTAGGCAATGCTGAAAAGAGCTGCATACTGCAAAAATCAAAATCCCTATCAACAAAGAACACAGTAATTTAAAATATTAACGGCTTTAATCAAATGCTGTTTCTCATTCTCTGATTATAACTCCATTTTGAAATCTTATGACTCTTAGGTGAAAGGTAAAATAAACCCATTATTCATGATAATTTTAATCTCACCACAGCCTCTCTTATCACTATTTACGGAAAACATAATGGGGATAAAGCAAAATTTATTTCAAATTTAAATACTTTGAAACAGAGCACAAATCATCACATTTATCTCCTCTGAAATCTGTATGTTACACATTATCAATTGCCTATTCGCTTCATTCCAAATTATTTGAAGCAGCAACACTTTAAATGGACTGTAATATTAATCACAAGCCAAACATATTTAAACATCAGTAATCCTACCTGCAGGTCGTCCTCTTTTAGGACTCACTTTTAGATTAACAGATGCTGTTGCTGTTGTCACTACTCCTGCCTCCTCAGTTTCTACTTGTTTTTCTGCCTGAATTACAAAAATTTAATTAACTTATTTAGTAAATAGTAGGCAAAGTTTAATTCGATGGCAAAAATATGCCAGTTTATGGTAATGTGAAAGTATAACCTCTATATGATCTTTGTTATTTTCCAACAATCAACTCAGGGTAACATCTTCAAACTTAGTTTATAACTCTAGTGAACAATTCTTAAAAAAAAATGCACTTCTTAGAAATGAAGTCATTTGTAAAAATAAAGCTAATATTCTTGATGAAATATGGAGACCAAAGTAGTGTGATTACACTGCAACTAACACATTGCTATTTCGAATTCTTTGTTCATATAGACACATTTTATTTCTAAACTGAGACTGTTACCTAATAGTTCTCTAGGAGTTATTCTTACTAGCAGAGAGTAAGGAATCCCCTGACCATTTGCAAACTCTAATGCCCTTTGGTAATTGCTGGTCTGACTCTCCTGGAGAGAATGGCCCCAAATGAGAATCAGTATTATTGATTTAATTAGAGTGGAACAAAGGTTAAGAACCACAGATTAGAAACGAAATGTAAATATGAGGCAGCAGTTGGTACTAATCATAATTGCAAAAGGAGGAAAGAAAGAGACCAAAGGAGGAGATGATGGGCTACTTCCCCATCTCCCCCAACTATTTAGAATTCAGCATTAACCGTATCACTAAAGATAAGAGCTAGATAGCATTCAAAAACATGCATAATCCAATCTCATTGATTAAAAAAATTAAAAACTGCCTTTTCATCAATGATTTGATTTGTAAACACAATGCCCAGTGTTGGTAAGGACGTGGAGAATCATTTTTCATACATTGACTCCCAGTGATCAATAAGGTGGTACCAATAAACTGATACTTTATGAAACAGCATAATTACGAATGAGTATTGGCAATATAGAATGTGTAAATCTCTACACAGGGTCGGACCCGGTGGCTCACACCTGTAATCCCAGCATTTTGGGAGACTGAGGTGGGTGGATCACTTGAGGTTAGGAGTTCAAGACCAGCCTGGCCAACATGATGAAACCCCATCTCCACTAAAAATACAAAAAAATCAGCCAGGCATGATGGTGTACACCTGTAATCCAAGCTATGTAGGAGACTGAGGCAGAAGAATTGCTGGAACTTGGGTGGTGGAGGTTGCAGTGGACTGAGATCATATCACTGCATTCCAGCCTGGGTGACAGAGCAAGACTGTCCCCCCCAAAAAACAAACAAAAAACCTATGTGGCAATTCCAATTCTAAGAATGTACCTGTTTCTTTTATTAGTTTTTTAAACATTTAATAACTGAAACATAATGATGCATATTAAAAGTATCATTAAAACTCATCTAAGGTAACCCTTGAATTGTTCTCAGAAAACACTGAAAATTCCTCCCTAAACATTATTAGCTCAGATTTTATTTCTAGAATTTTAAGAACTTACAGACCAAGCTGCCTTGCCCCAATCCTGACTCAATAGGTCTGAGTCAGAAAATCAGGCATCAGTGATTTTATAAAACTCTCCAGGTAACAAAGCTTAAGACCTCAAGACTGAGAGCTCTTTTCCTACTGAGGAGTTAAGAGGGCGTAATTTGTCTAAAATTCAGTTATAACTGATCAATTCTTTGGTGCAAAGAAAACTCTCTTCACTTACACTTTCTGGAAATAAACCAAGACACTGAATAAGAATTATAGGTAGGGTTGGGCACAGTGGCTCATACCTGTAATCCCACCCAGCACTTTCAGAGGCTGGGGCAAGCGGATCACTAGAGGTCAGGAGTTTGAGACCTGCCTGGCCAACATGGTGAAACCCCTCTCTGCTAAGAATACAAAAATAAGTCGGGCACCTGTAATCCAAGCTACTCAGGAGGCTAAAGCAGGAGAATCACTTCAACTCACAAGGCAGAGATTGCAGTGAGCTGAGATCCTGCTACCACACTCCAGCCTGGGCAAGAGAGCAAGACTCCGTCTCAAAAAAAAAAAAAAAAAAAAAAGAATGATAGGCAGAAGAGATGGCTTTTAAGGAGGTACCAATAAGGGTAACAAGTTTGTCAATAATAAAATAATTAAAACTATATTAAACACCAATACTAAGAGATCAGCCCTACCATGCATATGTGTTCATGACTATTATACCAAAATCACTCAAGTCAGAACCATTCCTCATGAAAATAAAATAAAAGAATAAGTAGTATTTTACTAAAGAAACGGCCAATGAAGCTATATGAAATACACACATTTAAAGCTTTTTTCCCCTACTCTTAGGACATGCTTAAATAAACATCCTAAATGCAAATATTCTAAACTCTTAGACTACAGACTTATTTCTTCTCTATTTTACTTGTTCTGAGACCTCTAACCCTTTAATTCATTTTCTCATTTCTTACCCCACTTTCTAGCTCTACCACATTCCCCAATCTTAACTAAACCCCCCCACCGCGCCCCCCCACCTCTCTATGAAATTACTATTCAAATGCATTTGCATGTCCTCCACATCATTTTGCTGTATCTGTCCCACAAATCCTCAACAGAGGTTACTATACAATTCTATCTTCTCTGTTCTATTATTCCCAGCTGCTGAGGCCTGATGAAAAAAAAAACAAACTGTGCAAACATGCATTCATTTTATCAATCTCAGTTGAGATCTCAAAGTCACTTTACCCTATTTGATCAGGCCTTCTTATCCCATCAACAGCTAACATAAAGAGTCAATCCATTCTTCCTAACTTGTGCCATATCCAAAGTCTTGCTTTGATGTGGGGGGAGGAGAAGAAAAAGAAAGGGCTGTAGAAAGGAATTCCCTTAATTTCCTAGTGTTCCAAGAAATTTTCATTGCCTCCTTCATCCCTACCCTTCAGTGTTAAAGAGACTGAAACATCTGGCAGGGCACGGTGGCTCACACCTGTAATCCCAGCACTTTGGGAGGCCAAGGCAGGCAGATCACAAGGTTAGAAGTTCGAGACCAGCCTGGCCAACATAGTGAAACCCCATCTCTACTAAAAATACAAAAATCAGCCAGACGTGGTGGTACGTGCCTGTAATCTCAGCTACTCAGGAGGCTGAGGCAGGAGAATCACTTGAAACCAGAAGGTGGAGGTTGCAGTGAGCCAAGATTGTGCCACTAAACTCCAGCCTGGGTGAAAGAGTGAAACTCCGCCTCAAAAAAAAAGAAAAAAAAAAAAAAAAAAAAAAAAGGAGACTGAAACATCCATCTCCTCCTTGTTAAATCAATTCCTTCAAATGTCCCCTCTATTCTCTCTCATCCAACACATACTTACATAAAATAATTTATACTGACTCCACATCTTTGATCTTTCCTAGTTTCGCAAAGAGAAAGTGTTAAGGCATCTACTGTCTTTCGTCATTTTAACACTTTCCCTTAGCCATGAAAATCTCTAATAAGTTGCCACATTCTCCTTTCCTTCAAAGATTTCAAAAGCATAGTGTAACTTTACCATTAAACACTTATTCTCTAACCCCTTAATCTAGTTTCTGTCCTTACCATTTGACTAAATGGAGTTCACTTTAAAGTCTCCTAGAGGAGCCTATTTGGCAAGTATCTTACTGGAACCCTCTCTAAATCAGGACATTACTGACCACCTCTTCATTCTGCACATTCTTCCTCCCCCTGTTTAGCTTGATATCATCTTAGATCTTCCCTTGACAGTTTATTTTCAGCCATAATTACGCACAGTAACCTTCCCCTCTCTCCATCATATTCCTTCAGGATTCTGGCTTTTGCATCCTCTCCATAAACAATTCTCCTTTGACCTCATCTATAACCCTATTTTCATTCCAGAGACTGCATCCATAACTTAGATCTTTTCCTTCTTTGGTGCCAGAACAATATGTATCTTCAATCCAATTCCCCTGGGTGCTTCACCTTCCCCTTACCCATGCCTGTGATCCCAAACCAACATCCTCTGCACTCCCAATAACTAGTTATTCAAGTTAAGACCCTGGAGCCACGTTAGACTTTGCCCCCTACCACCCCCTACCCCCGCCCTTTACCATCCACTTCTAATCAACCATCAACTTAACCTCTTAAAGAGCTCTAAAATCCCATCTCCCATCTACACCACTTAAAATATCTGCTATAGGATCCTTGTCTTTCCAGGCTCATGCCAACTCCTTAGAAAGGCCTTTTGTATGTAGCCTAAGTTGGCAAAACATTAGCTCTCTATTTTAAATATTTATTTTTTGTCTCAGAAAAATAGGTTCAATGGAAACAAAGACCTTGTCTTCTTTATTCACGACTCAATTCCATGCCAAGGCCAGTAAAGTTAGTACTAAAATTCTTAACAAATTTTACAGTGAACTGGTCTCACTGCCCCAATCCAATCCCCATCCTTCACACTGCTTTTTAAAAAATGACACATTTAGGCTAGGTACGGTGGCTCAAGCCTGTAATCCCAGCTACTCAGGAGGCTGAGGCAGGAAGATCACCTGAAGTCCGGAGTTTGAGACCAGACTGGCCAACATGGTGAAACCCTGCCTCTACTAAAATAAAAAAAATCAGCCAAGCATGGTGGTACATGCCTATAATCCCAGGTACTCGGGAGGCTGAGGCAGGAGAACTGTTTGAACTCAGGAGGTGGAGGTTGCGTGAGCCAAGATCAGGCCACTTCACTCCAATCTGAGCAACAGGGCAAGATCAGTCTACAGTCCCAGCTACTAGGGAAGGTAGGACGGGAGAATTCCTTGAGCCCACAAGTTTGAGGCTGCAGTTAGGTGTGACTGCACCCGTGCACTATATAGCCTATGTGACAGAGCAAGACCACATATCCTAAAAAAATGTTTAAAAGGAGGCATCCAAATTTTAAAATAATTCAATCATTTCCCATCACTTTATTAAGTTCCAAGGACTTTATGACAACATCAGGTTTTTTGGGACCAATTTTCTTCAAAGTTTATGGTCTGTTAATACTGAAATACAGCCCTCAAAATGCTTGAAATGGAATTTCCTCTATGTGTCTGCATATGCTATTCAAATTGCTTCATGTGTCCTTCCCCGCTCCTTCATCTGCCTGACAAAATTCTGCCTGTATTTTAAAATCGTAAGGTTATCACATCACCTCCCACCCATACTGCACAACAGATAAAAAAAAATCACTGAAATTATTTATTTTCAGTGTATCTCCTCATGAGATACTCAACTCTTAGTTTTCTTTGTATCTTTGGTATGTAATAATAATTTAGGAAATAAATCGGTCAGAAAAAACTGTGAAAAAAATTTCATATATGGAAGGAAAATTTCACATTAATTAAAACCATGTACCTAATCCTGCACTCACAACAATGTTGTGAAGTAACAATAACAACAACATAATAATGGACAACACTTATATAGCACTTAGTAGTATTTAGGTACCAGGATTTAGCATAAACACTTTACATATGTTAAATCATTTAATCCTCGACAACCTTGAGTATATATTTCTATCCATTTTAGAGAAAACTTGAACCAGAGTCATTAAAATGAATGAAAACTGGTGCATTTTATTTCCCTTACCATTTATTTTAAGGGTGCTATATCACTAAAAGAAACACAGATAGTTTGCCAAGTAAAATATAACCCATAAAAATTAAAAGGTTTAGAATAAAAGGTGAAATTTAAAGTTTCATAATATCTACTCTCCCTCAATCCAACTAAAATAAAAATTCTTTTCAGATCCTTGTGGTTGGTGAGTCAGTGAAATTACCTTTCTCTTTCTCCCTCTTCTGGCAGCTTTTGGAGTAGTTATGTCAACTGCTTTAGTCACATCCTAAAAAAAAAAAAAAGAAAACTGAATACTGAATAAATTACTCCAGGAATGAACGAAACCTTCTTAAACTAAAAGTCACAAGCATGTTTCACTAAAAGCACTCGGGAAATTTGTTTTGCTCTGTAGACTTTTGAAATTCTAAACATTATATCTTAACATTATGGAGTGAGAAAAACACAACTCCACTGTCAGTTCAAATATAAAAGTCAAGCTTGCTAGTATACCAGGAAGTCTATTTAAATTTATAAAACTACTTTTTCTACACTAAATTCTGAATTTTCGGGTTGTGAATTTTAAAGGATGGCTGGGACTCTGAAGATCATCTAACAACCACTTCATGAGGCCTAAATGAGTAATCTTTACTCACAGATTGCCATACGGAGTTTGAAATCAACCTAGGTTTTAAAAAATTTAGTCTCATGCTCTTTCCAGTGCATCCATTACACAACACTTCTCTTTAAAAACTATCCTTAACACTACCTACCCTACAGTTGGACTTCATGTTTTACATATACAAATAACTTCAAATAAAAACATGTATGCATCTTAAAGATGCATAAATTGTTTAACAATACTGTATTTAATATTTACACAAAGAAATAAGCCTTAAAATATTTTCTCATTCACTTTTCAAGCACTTTAAAGATTACTTTCTACTTAGCCATGGCCAACTCATTTCATTATTTCTTCCTTGAAACAAAATGGGTTTAAAATGTTAAGGGAAATAGAACATACCTCATTGCTGGCCTTTTCCTCATGGTCAGTATCTTCCTTTGAAACACTGGTTTCTTTTTCTTCAACTTCAACATCAGATGATGCATTTGATTGTTTAGTTGCTGCCTGTGAGCAATCAACTCTATTAATTTCACAAAGTAAGTTTTTACTCCAACAATATACACCATCTTTTATTTACTTTTACTTTTTTTAGAGATAGGGTCTCACTCTATCACCCAGGCTGGAGGTGTGGCAGAATCATGTTTCACTGACGCCTCAATTGCTGGGCTCAAGAGAACCTCCTTCCTCAGCCTGAGCCCAGGAGGTCGAGGCTATAGTCAAACATGATTGCACCACTATACTCCAGCCTGGGCAACGCAGACTCAAATAATAAAAATTTAAAAAATTTCAAGACTATATGGTGACAAGGCTTGGCAATTTGGAGGATGAACAAGACCATAAAGGTACAATCACGGGACAAATGATCCAAGAGAAATTACAAAACACAGCTAGGTGTGGTGGGTCACTCCTGTAATTCCAGCACTTTGGGAGGCTGAGGTGGACAGATCACTTGAAGTCAGGAATTCAAGACCAACCTGTCCAATATAGTGAAACCCCACCTCTATTAAAAAATACAAAAATTAGCCAGGCACGGTGATGCACACCTATAATCCTAGCTACTCAGGAGGCTAAGGCAGGAGAATCACTTAAACCCAGGAGGCAGAGGCTGCAGTGAGCAAAAATCAAGATCATACCACTGCACTCCAGGCTGGGCGACAGAGCAACACTCTGTTTCCAAAAAAATAAATAAATAGAAAAGAAATTCCAAGACATTAAGTTTCAGGAAACGATCGATTCTCTTTAGACAGATGTTCTCCCATTACACAGTCAAGGCAATAATGATGAGAAACCATGCAGCCATTCAACAAATATTCAGTGAATATCTATTCTTCTCACACATGTACATGCTAGGCACACAGACATAAATCTTTTGTTCACAGAGGCAACATAATAGCCTATAACAGGTACAGACAAGTATAGAAACAACTATGATATGGTTCAACGAATCCATTAACAAGTAAGTACTGGGAGGTAATAAAGTCACTTATGATAATTTAATGTGGCCTTGGAGCATCAATGAAAGATTTATATGTTCCAGATAGAATAGTATCTCAACAGTTCTCCAAGGTAAGAAAAAGCATGACACATATGAAGAAATAAAATTTATAGGTTTAAAGTTAAAAGCCAGACCGGATGCAGTGGCTCACACCTGTAATCCCAGCACCTTGGGAGGCAGAGGAAAGTGGAATCACAAGGTCAGGAGTTCAAGACCGGCTTGGCCAAGACGGTGAAACGCCGTCTCTACTAAAAATACAAAAATTAGCCAGACACGGTGGCAGGCGCCTGTAATCCAAGCTACAAAGGAGGCTGAGGCAGAACCTGGGAGGCAGAGGTTGCAGTGAGCTGAGATCACGCCACTGCACCCTAGCCTGGGAGACTGAGACACCGTCTTTAAAAAAAAAAAAAAAGAGTAAAAGCTGCCAAATTTCCAGTTTGTTGCTACCTCCTCCTTCTTTAGGTTTATTCCTGCTCTTCCCAGTTTTTGGACCTCAGGTCTTAATAAGAGGACATATACTGATGAATGAGAAACTGTACCAATAATACCTTCATAAAGACTTCCTCTCATAGCTCTCTGATTCTATTACAAAGCCATCTGTTTATTTTAAATCGTAAGAGTTCTGGAACATCCATTTGGGAATATGTGCACAATTCAAGAATGCAATCAACAATATAAACAAATTTTCTAAATCACATAAATACCAGGACAGAGGTAAAGAGAAGCAGTGTTTTCTGTAGTATGATAAAAATGATACAAGTTGGATCAAGGCAAACCACTCCATGAAAATTTAGTATCACATAAAAATTAACAAAAGCAGAGAAAAGAGGGTATAAGGCTGCTGTTGACACCAATAAATATAATTGGCATAGTGCTATATTTGTCACATATTAATTTAACCCATGAGGTTCATATTCTAATACAATTCTATCGATCTAGAAATTAAAGGCTGGGCATGGTGGCTCACACCTGTAATCCCAGTACTTTGGGAGGCCAAGGCAGGTGGATCACCTGAAGTCAGGAGTTTGAGACCAGTCTGGCCAACATGATGAAACCCTGTCTCTACTAAAAACACAAAAAATTAGCCAGGCATGGTGGTGGGCACCTGTAACCCAGCTACTTGAGGGGCTGAGGCAAGAGAATCACTTGAACCCAGGAGGTGGAGGTTGCAGTGAGCTGAGATTGAGCCACCTCACTCCGGCCTGGGCAACAGGAGCAAAACTCCACCTCGAAGAAAAAAAAAAAAATTAAAGAGAATAAGAAAACTTAAGCACACACCATGTAAGTTACAAACCCTAAATTTAGGAGAAGAATACATACAGCTCTAAATTCAATGATGTATAAAATAAACCCTCAATCAGGAGGAGCTAAATAACTGAAAAGTTCCCAGTTTTTGAGATGTTTAACTACACAAAGTAATGATCTCAGCCATTTGTCATGGTATAAAAGGTTCGAGGTTCAACCTCACAAATAAGAACACAACAATCTAGTCTGAAATTCACAAGGCTTTTAGTATTTATTTTTCTACAGCTAGATTATGCCCCAGGATTAAATAATACCAAATTTTCAGTAATATGGCTTACCTGTTGACTTGAAAATTTCACTTTTGGATTGTTATCTATCTCCCATAAACCTTCATTAAAACCTTTTCTTTTATTTGGTTTGCCATACTTTTCCTTATTTTCTGAGTAAGGAAATATATCCTTTGGTCCTAAAAAAGCACTAAAAAAGAAGAAGGGAGAATGTGAGTGCAAAACAATCTCAATTAAATACATAGTAAGTTATTAAATAAGATATCATATTATGCAATTATCAAAAATACATAATCTAAACCATATTACAAGTCTTATATAAGTTAAAGGGCAACTAATAATTCCAAATACTTTTATTAAATTCAGTAATAAGCAACTATTTGAATAAATCCATAATCCTATTAAGTAAAACCACAGCGTGAATGTACTTAATGCTGCTGAACTGTAAACTTAAACATGGTTAAATCACCGGGTGCAGTGACTTATGCCTGTAATCCCAGCACTTTGGGAGGCTGAGGTGGGTGGATCACCTCAGGTCAGGAGTTCAAGACCAGCCTGGCCAACATGGTATAACCCTGTCTCTACTAAAAATACAAAAAGCAGCTGGGCGTGGTGGCACATGCCTGTAGTCCCAGCTACTTGGGAGGCCGAGGTAGGAGAACTGCTTGAACCTGAGAGGCGGAGGTTGCAGTGAGCTGAGATCATGCCACTGCACTCCAGGATGGGCGACAGAGTGAGACTCTGTCTCAAAAGAAAAAAAAAAAAAAAGGTTAAATCACTGAATTTGGGTTTTTAACAATGATAAATCACAAACTTTGACACATCTGCATTAATCAGTACATTTAACTGCACCCCAAATACAGTTTCACTTCAAAATAACTTGATATATTATACAATTCACAAAACTGTTATGTTTTTAAAATAATCAACGAGTATGTTAAGAATTTTATTTTACTCAATGAGGGAATCAGACATGTTATAACCCATTCATTCATTCATGTATGCACAATCAATTCTTGCTATCTGTGGTAGTAATATTCTATAAAGTCATTGTGAAAGCTGAATTAGCAAATACTCAACTGTTGCTCCTGGGGAAAAAGTGTTCCCTCTTAGGAGAAATACATAAAGCAGTCAATACATAAATTCATTTTATGTGTGTTTCTGTTTAAAGACACCTTATTTAATACAGATTGCTAACTCATTAACACTGAACTCATAGCCAACGGCGTATATAACATGCACTTTCTCTGAGAGCACATTATAGCCTTCTTGCACTTAGCAACACTAAAGAGCACTTTAGCACTATGCTTGGGGGCTAGTTTAAATAGCGAAATGACCAACAAAAGCACAAAACTGCAAAAACCCATGGCAATAAATAGACTGCAAAAAAAAAATACTTGCTTACAGTATGAGTGCTGAAAAAAGGAGGCAAGCATTCCCTTGTTCAACCTCAGCTAAGAATGTGTTTATCAGGAGACTCAAATGTTCCTGCTACTCAGTGCATATTTGTGAAATGACCTGGAAGACACTACAACAAGCACTACTGATTTGAGGTTACTAATAAGTTTTAGTGAGTAGGTACATTTGCAAACATGGTATCCACAAATAATGAGTCTCAACTGTTTGCATATGGGTACATATACACACAGATAGTTCTTAATTTACTAAGGGGATATGCCCCAATAAACCCACTGTAAATCTAAAATATCTTAAGTCGAAAATGCATTTAAATACTATGAAAACCCCACTATGAAGTCAAAAAAATCTAAGTTGAACCACAGTAGGTGTGTTAGTCCATTCGCATGCTACTATGAAGAAATACTTGAGACTGAGTAATTTACAAAGAAAAGAGGATTAATTGACTCACAGTTCCACATGGCTGGGGAAGCCCCAGGAAACTTAGAATCACGGCAGAAGGCACCCCTTCACAGGGCCACAAGAGAATGCATGCAAGCAAGGGAAATGCCAGACACTTATAAAACCATCAGATCTCATGGAACTCTCTCACAAGAACAGAATGGGGGAAACCACCTACATCCTTCTATTACTTCTACCTGGTCCTGTTCTTGATACATGGGGATTATTATAATTCAAGGTAAGATCTGGGAGAGGACACAGAGCCAAACCATCATTCTGCCCTTGGCCGCTCTCAAATCTGATCTGAGACATATTTCAAAACACAATCATGCCCTTCTAACAGTCCCCCAAAGTCTTAACTCATTCCAGCATTAACCCAAAAGTCCAAGTCCAAAGCCTCATCTGAGACAAGGCAAGTCCCTTCCACCTAAGAGCCTCTAAAATCAAAAGCAAGTTAGTTACTTCATAGATACAGTGGTGGTACAGGCATTGGCTAAATACACCGTTCCAAATGGGAGAACTGGCTAAAACAAAGGGGCTGGTTACAGGCCCCATCCAAGTCTGAAATCTAATAGGACAGTCAAGTTCCAAAATGATCTCCTTTGACTCCATGTCTCACATCCAGGTCATGCAAATGCAAGAAGTGGGCTCCCAGAGCCTTAAGAAGCTCTGCCCCGTGGCTTTGTATGGTACCACCACTCCACCTTGGGCTGGCATTGAATGTCTGCAGCTTTTCCAGGTACATGGTGCAAGCACTCAGTGGATCTACCATTCTGGGGTCTAGAGGATGGTGGCCCTCTTCTCACAGTTCTACTAGGTAGTGTGCCAGTGGAGACTCTGTGGGGGGGGATCCAACCTCACATTTCCCTTCCACACTATCCTAGCAGAGGTTCTCTATGAAGTTTTCAACCCTGCCACAGACTTCTACCTGGACATCGAGGCATTTCCACAGGTCTTCTGAAATCTGGGCAGAGGTTCCCAAACCTCTATTCTTGTCTTCTGCATACCCACAAACCCAACACCATGTGGAAGCTGCCAGGGCTTGGGGCTTGCACACCCTGAAGCAACAGCCTCAGCTGTACCTTGACCCCTTTTAGCCAAGGCTGGAGCAGCTGGGACACAGGGCACCAATTCCCAAGGCTGCACACAGCATGGGAGGCCCTGGACCCAGCCCAGGAAACCATTTTTTCCTCCTGTGCCTCTGGGCCTATGATGGGAAGGGCTGCCATGAAGGTCTCTGACATGCCCTGAAGGCATTTTCTCATTGTCTTAGTGATTATCATTTGGCAGTCGGCTTGAATTTCTCCCCAGAAAATGGGTTTTCCTTTTCTACCGCATCATCGGGCTGCAAATTTTGCAGACTTTTATGCTCTGTCGATTCTTTAAATGCCTTGCTGCTTAGAAATTTCTTCTGCCAGATCCCCTAAATCCTCTCAAGTTCAGAGTTCCACAGATCTCTAGGACAGGAGCAAAAAGCCAACAGTCTCTCTGCTAAAGCATAGCAAGAGTGATCTTTAATCCAGTTCCCAACAAGTTTCTCACCTTCATCTGAGACCACCTCAGCCTGGACTTCATTGTCCGTATCACTACCAACATTTGGGTCAAAGCCATTCGACAAGTCTCTAACAAGTTCTCAACTTTCCCACATTTTCCTGTCCTCCTGTGAGCCCTTCAAACTGTTCCAACCTCTGCCTGTTACTCGGTTCCAAAGTTGCTTCCACATTTTCAGGTACCTTTACAGCAGCACTCCACCTCTAGTACCAATTTACCATGTTAGTTGGTTCTCTCATTGCTATGGAGAAATACCCGAGACAGGATAATTTATAAAGAAAAGAGGTTTAGTTGACTCAAAGTTCCGCATGGGTAGGAAGGCCTCAGGAAACTTATAATCATGGTAGAAGGTACCTCTTCACAGGGCCGCAGGAGAAAGAACGTGTGCAAGCAGGGGAAATGCCAGACACTTATGAAACCATCAAATCTCATGAGACTCACTATCACAACAGCATGGGGGAATCATCACCTCCATCATTTAATTACCTCCACCTGGTCCTGTCAGTGACATGTGGTGATTACTATAATTTGAGGTGCAATTGTGGTGGGGACACAGGGCCAAACCATATTAGTAGTTCAGGAACCATCTGTACATATATATTTAGATAAATTCTCCAGGATACATCCTGTACATCTCCCCATGTCAGTGAGTCATGTAGAAGTCTGTCAGTTCTACAAAGCTAGACATAAGTATGTTGATAATTTTACTATAATAGCTGATATATTCCCCAAAGCAACGGGAAAATGGATACTTATTTCCTCTAAAATGTACTAAATTTTAAAATTATTACTATCATTACATATATATCACAAATTCCTTATCTGCTAAAAATTCTTTAAGAATTAGAGAACTAATGAGTATAGTTAATATTCTAGTTCGAATTTTTTTCCATTTAAATATAAATGTCAGGGCATATAAAAGTCAGCTTTATTATTTAAATTCTGTAATGTTCACTGTATCCATGTATTTTAACTGCACATCTCATTTTCAAAGTAATATTATTACGCTAGGGTTACTGCAAACCAATAATATACCAAATTTACTTTGGTGTTAAACTGAAATAATCTCATTTCATCAAAAATTGAAGATTTTACTAGACATCATTAATTCCTGACCACAATCTCAAATTAGAAAAAGTAACAAATTTAGCTGTAACAATACACATTCCTCTTAATAGGTTTCAAATTCTAAGTAAATGACTTGAGTTAAACCTCCATGAAAATATATTTCTAGTCAGAACAAACCAATTCAACACAAATTCTCCCTCCTGAAAAACCACAAAAACAACAGTAAAGAGATTAATTTAAAAGTATAAACTCATAAGGCCAAACAAGACAAAAATAAAATTTGAAAGCTAAAAAGAAGACAGGTTAAATTTTTTTTACATGAATTATTTTTCTTAACCTCAAAAAAAGCAGTTCTTAAAAATGACCATGCAAGGCAATCTTAATAATCAATGGGAAAAGTTACGATTGTTCTGTGACCTTTAAAAATTGTCAAAACATTAAGCAGTCTATTACTGATACTTATAAATACATAAGGAAATGAAATAGTAAAACCAATACTTACTTAGCATGCTGTAACTTAAAATATTAGGAACCCTGAGATTAAAGTGTATCATTTCTTTGTAAAAAATAAAAAACCATCAAGAATAATTTGAACAACGCTTGCCTTCTTCTGATAATATTAATTATGACATGGAATGAGCCTATCTTCTATGCCTTGGCAAACTGTCACACTCCTAAGTTTGGATCAGATTCCAGTATTTTATCCTTCATGCT